ATGTGAAAGAATGACTTAAAAATCACTTACACCTATTTAAATGGAAATCACAACAGGAAAAGCAGTCAAACTACCCATACCGACCTTCACAAGAGGTGGAGCACTGTTCCAGCATTTTGGTTTGGAGGGGGAACAGTCTGTGGCCTTTTGCCCTTCAAACAACTTGTTCAGGTATTTGAAGCTACTTGCAAAGACTGGAGGAGTTTATCTTTTTTTATATTCCCTGCTTTTTTAAAATGTGGAACTGTAGCTTGGCTGGCATTGAGCAGTGTGTCTGAGAGCCTTTGGTTTTAGTGGCTTCAGTCAAGCAGCATACTTTCTGTTTATTGCCCTGCGTGAAGCTGGAATATTCTGCTGAGGGTTGTCTGTTGCAAAGCAGGTTTACGCCTGTTTCTTCAGTCGGTAACTCCACTATGTAACTCCAGAATGTCTGTAAGTTCCAGCAGCATATTATAGTCTGTTCTGAGGTTATGCCTGAGCTTCCAGCTTTTAAAATGTGAGCCAGTTGATATATCTGCAGTTGCACCACAAAACTCCACGTAATAAAATTATAATATATCACTTATTTATTAGGGGTGAATCTACCAAACAGTAGAACGTATTTGCTTTGAATTTCCCTTGCTTTAAATTAATCTGTAGAATATGGATTGCATTTGCTGTAAGTGGCAGTGAGGAAGAATAGTGCAGCACGGCAGACAGAATTTATACCATATTGTAAGGACCATGTTGTGCACATGAAACTTAGAACAATGTCTTGGCTTTTGCAACACATACAGGGCATTTGGATCCCCCCCCCCAATTTCTTTACAATTCTCCAACTTGGTGAGTGGATTATTGCATAGTGTGATGCAAGAATCATGCAAAAATATGACTGTTGCTGGCTCAAACATTTTATAAAGATATTGTGGTAATGTGTGATTGCTTGAGTTTTGTCTTTAATAATGTAGGTTTATCATGGAAGAAGGGAAAATAATTCTGCAATCAGAATGTAAAATGATGGAAGCTAATTCCAAGGAGCGTATAAATAATGGTAAGTGACAAAACATCAATCAGAGATGTGAAGTGGCCTTGTAATAACTATGTAGTGACTATTAAGGGAAATATTTGAAATCAATTTCTGTCCATTTGCTGGTAGTAGCTGTGGCACAAGAGATGAGTAACTAGTGGCTCTTTGTTTTTGGAATTTAAAAAAAGTATATTCCTGTGCCCAGAGCTTCCATCTGTTCTGCATAATCCAACAAATAACTGTCAGGATTTGGCGACAGGAAAATGCACAGAGTTAATTGAAGACACTTACATGTTCTTCTTCTTTAGCAAGACGGGTGTATTTACAATATTTACAAGTATATACAGGCTGGCATCACTTCAGCATGGCAGGAAATCATTAAACAAACCAGCATAGAGGATAGCAGCAAATGGTGGAGAGAGAAGAGAAAGCTATGAATACACTGTTCACTTATATACATATACAAGGCTTTTTCAGTCCAATCAGAAGACACATTACATCATTTTCTGCACCTGGGTGTCTTCTCATCTTCAGACATTGCATCTCCTCAGCAGTCACAGTGACTCAGCATACACACATCTGTTCACAATGGCAGCTCATTAATAACACATTTATCCAGGTTTATGCCTATAAAAATTACAATATCCTGACAGTAACAGTGACGTAAATGGGCCAGATAATGCGCTGCAGGTGATTAACTTCCTTCTAGACAAATTTTCCCTGTTGTCTTCATTCTTAATGTTCCCACTGCTATTAATAATCCACCACTTAATATGCTACCTTTGCATATTTGTTGTGCTATGCTTATAGAATATGGATGCATATTCCAAAAAAAATTGGGAATGCTTAGAAAAAGAAAGATTCACTGATGCTTAACAGCAATGCTTTTCCTGGAAAATAAAATAAATTGTGGAGGGAAGTGTGTTTTCAGGTATAATGCTTAGTCAGAGATTTCTAATGACATCTGGCATAAGAGTTTTTGAAAGTGACCCTGAGGTAGTATTTCTCAAATGTAACAACTAGTATCTTCTTGCAGGGCTTCATTGGTGCAACAGGAATAGTGGCAGCAGCAAATTGATTTCAGGTTCTGGGTGACTTTGTATCAGTATCCACAAGTTCAACATATCCCCAAATGAAAAAAGACAGGCTTTGATTGCCAGCAATCTGCTACTGCTAGTGATGTTCCCATAGTGTCTGCAGACCTCTGCAGAAGGATAGTGGCCAATGGCTTCTTTTGCCTGCATTATTTGTAGCAAGAGTAGATAGCTGCAAAAAGTAACAGTATGACTTCAAAATAGGAGCCTGCTACTTTTATCAGTGCTTTCTGTTGAACTGCCCTGTTGTGATGCACTAAATCCATGTAACTCAGTTTTACCTGGTATTGTAGTTATATTTAAAAATGGAGCATGGACTAAAAAGGCCAACAATATTTAATAATTGACTTGTTGCTTCATGCAATGAGAATAACTGGTCCTTTCCCCATTGATTGATAGATTGAATTTATATGCTACTCTGTAGTGTTACACACACTGGGCAGTTTACAGCAAAGCATACAAAGAAGGAACAATAAATACAAAGCAATATACAAATACATATCGATAAACAATAAATTCAATCAATAAAACCACTGAACTAACAAACCTATCTTTAGATATATAAACGATTTTGTACATCACAGGTAAGATCACTAATAAAAGGTAGTGCGGTGCTTGGAACAGTTTATTTTAAGGGACCAACAACTTCTAGAAGCATCAGCCAGTGCGTGGCTGTCACTTTGGTAACAGATTACCATATGGCTGGAATAATGTCCAAATGATGTAGGTCCTGTCCATATAGTTGCACTATTTAAATATTAATGTACAGTGGTGCAGGTGTCATACACAGAAAAGCAGCTTCCCTTCTCCAGCCTGTCTGTATGGACCTGTATCTATTGTGAGTAATTAGGCCTCTTCCAAGGCCCCTGAAAGTGACCTCTGCAATAGTATCTGCAGCCATTTCAGTAGGTTTCTCGCTCTTACCCTTACCTGGCTCTGGCAGTGACAGGTTGATTCCTCCCAGTTCTTCTCCTTTCCAGGCTGCTGGCTTGCAGGATGGCTCATTCAGTAGCTCAGTTGGACATCTTAACTGAGCTCACTATAAAACTTCCTGCAATTATTGTATCCTCTTCCAAAGGCTGCCTGGGAGAGAAAATGTAGTTATCATGCCCATATGAAACTACTAATTAAGTGGCCAGTTTGGATAGTGTCAATCACCTGTTTTGTGGGTGAAAACGAATGTGGATCCCAAGTGTGTGTGTATGCCTATGGCTGCACACCATCCACAGTTTCTGATGTTCAGTGTGTGAATCTAGACACACAGGTATGTGCCTAGAATCCTTTGCCTGTAAGCAGCTCATCCTTTCTGCATCGGGACATATGTTTTAGCTCAGTGGCTCTCAACATTTCATATCATTCAGCCCATCTATTGCTGCATCGGAGAACCTTCATTGATAGGGGGGAAAACGCTAGGTTTTTTTCCCCTGAGAAAAACATGCTAAGTTTTACAGGATTCTTATTTATAGTAAATTAGTTGGAGGGAGGATGGACAATTAAGAGAAACACTTGAGTGTCCAAAGTTACTACAAGCATGCCAAAAGGTCACAGATGGGTAATCTGTAACGGGCAGGGTCAGGAGGAGACAGACTGTCACATTTGCAGGAGGGAGTGTGAATTTTTGTTATGAGAAAACTCTTTCCCAGCTAGATTACAGGATTATACCACTGGTATGTGTATTTTAGAGCCACTGTTCTAAGGGTATATCAAAACTGATTCTATGTTCAGTTTTTATGCAGTAAAATAATGCAACAGAATATTATCAAACACTGACATTTCTGTTTGGCAAAAGGGACTACAGTACTGTATATTAGCTACAGAAAAATTGTCAGTCCAGTGATCATACCAAGAAATAATATGCCAATGTATTTTCAGATGTTCCCCTCCTAACTGATGAAAAATTTGACTTTGACCTTTCACTGTCTCCTACAAGGTATGTCAAGTATCTGCAAAGCAAAATGTATAATTAAAAAACAAAATATTTGTATATGTCTAACAGAACTGTTTGTATTCCAGTGAAAATGAGGATGAAGTTTTTGTGGGACCAATAGGTCATAAAGAAAAATGTGTGGCTGTGTTTGTTGAGTCCCAGGAACGGACTGAAGGTAAAAATTCCCCACACTCTGTGGATGAGCTAACATGGAGTCCACTTGCTGGAGAAAAATTTATAGAAATTTTTAAAGAAGCTCACCTGGTCGCTCTTCAGCTACAAAGTGGGAGCAACGCAAAAAGAAATAAAACTGGGAATCTGGAAGAACAGAAGACAGAGGCTGTAGAAAAATTTGTGCAAGAATCAAAGTCAAAACTGAAAATCCTTGAGAAAGGTATAGTCGTGGATAAAACCCCAAAGGCAATTAAGAGAGAGACTTACTGTGTGTCGGAAATCCCTGTTGGTCAGCTGCCATCTTTGCTGCAAAAACATTCAAGGCATCCTGTCAAAATAATGGACAGCTGTCAGTCTCCACAAGTGCTGCAAAATACTTCCAGTCCTGGTAAACTGGGTAAATTATCTGAAGTGTCTGCTGTGCATTTAGCTCAGGGAAAGAGTGACAAAAACAATAAAAGGACAAGCACATTTCAGAGTGTAAAAGGTTCATCTGGATTTGGAAATAACAGTAACTTAGCAGTGGGACAGGTAAATATTTTTTTTCCTTCTAGACAGCTCAGAGCTTAGAGAGTACGTGCAATATAACTTGTCACATACAGTAAGAAGATTAACTTTGTGTGCTGCTTCTAGTTGAAATACAGTGCTTAAGTTTTCCTTCCCCCCCCCTTTGGTTTTTTAAAGAAAACAAATGGTTGCATATTTAAAATGTTTGGTCTGAGTTCAGAGTGCTAAATTCTGAGAACAATCCCAGTTCTTACAGCTGATGAACTTATGAATTAATTTCATGGTACTCTCATTAATTGTAGTGATGGTTCAAAATGTTCTGTATGAAACAGGTGCCACTGGAAAATGCCACTTGAAGCGTGTGCATTATTTTGTCACACATTTAAACACATACTGGTGCTATTGTAAGAATGTCCCCAGTTAATGGTATCTGAACTAGAATCCTTGGCCAAAATCTTCCTGAGGGAACTACACCTACAATGGTCTGTTGTGTAATTGATTTGACACTGACTGAACTTGCTCCAGGAGGTCTCTTGTTCCTCCTAGTGCAACCGAAAGCCAGCTCTGTTTGTTCGAACAAGCTGATTTCACATTTATAGCAGAAAGCTGCAGATTGTGTTAACACTGAGTCTGAGCTCAAGGCAATTCTATTCCTTGTACACAGGATGAAATCCAATCAAAATAGGCTAAGAATGCCTATAATGCTCATAAAGCAACCCAGATGGAAGTGCAAAAGTTTGCCTGTGCTTTGACACTCATAAAGCAACCCCGATGGAAGTGCAAAAGTTTGCCTGTGCTTTTAAAATGAGTCTTCTGATATGTGAATGTCATCACTTGATTTTTCATTAATGAGTCTTCTGATCTACTGAAATGTTGTCAGCTCCAAAAGGCTGATATAGTCGCACAGACACAATCATTCATATGTGAATGTCATCACTTGATTTTTCATGCTGAAAAAAATAGCTTTATAACAGTGCTGTTCAAGTCTCTTTATACATTCAAACTGTGGTTCCTTGTGTGATGTGAATAGCTGTGAATGGGAGAGCATGAATGGTTCTTATAACACTGATTGGGTTTATTTTATTTTATTAATTTCCAGCAGCTGACTATCCAGTTGTCTTTAAACTGTTGTTTACCACTTTATAATTATATTTATTCAAAGAATGTTTCCACTCAATGGACAAAGAGCCTGAATTTTTTAATATATATCTAATTGTTTTAAATCTGAATCTTGCAGCTGAAACAAGGGAGACTATCTAGCTCTTCCAGTAGAAATAATTTGAACAGTCTGGGGTCATCTGAAGACTTGCTCTCGGACAAATCAAGTGTTACATCAGATGGTGGTGATACATCATTCTGCAGCAGTTCATCTGTGCAAGAGAAGCGAACTCTTCCTACTCCCAGCAAGGTGAATGTTCTCGAGTGTAACTGTTTTTAAAAATATTGATATCTAGTTGCCTTCAGATGCTAGTGTTTTCTTATGGTATCAGATTAGTGACCACGAGCCATGTAGCTTTTGGAAATCTTTCTGTTTCTTCCATTTGATAGACTAGATTGTGCTAATTAGACAGAAGCCTGTTACTGGAGTAATGTAAGAGTAACAGGCTTCTGTCTAGTTTGACTTGATTTGGTCTCTTCATTGCTGAATGGAGGAGGCTCCAATTCATTGGTCCCCAGATGTTTGACACAATGTCCTTTGGCTTTTTGAGAAATTCTGTTGTCTCCTTCGCCTCTTTTTGAAAAGTTAGATAGGCTTTTGGCTTTGCTGCTGTATTGTTAAATATTTGCTGGTAAAAATAAGGCAGTGATGTAAGACAACAGTTAGAGGTTTCTAGTATGTCTAAATTTTTGCTGCTGTTTTTGTAGATAGGCATAAAGACGAGACAGCTAAAACCTCCTAGTAATGTTCATATGCGAAAGAACACATCGTCTTCGTCATCGTCCTCTGTTTCCAGCATGAACTCAAGTTTTAATTCAAGTCTATCCATTTCTCCAAAAAGAGGAAAAGGTAACAAGCATATGAGTTTTGGGAACTGTAATTTAGTTCATTACAATGTGTAGTGATGAACAGAGTACTATGTGAAAGGAAACAGAAAGCTGATACAGAAAGGAGACAGGAATTCTGGGGAAAAAAGCTACAGTGGGACCCCCGTATCCATGGAATCGGTCTCCACAGTTTCAGTTACATGCAGCAAACAAGAGTGCCTCCTTGTGGCCTTTGTCTCACCTCCTTGTATCTTGAATAAATGGTTCCCTCTTATCCATGGTTTCAGGCATCCACAGAAGATTGCAGAACTGACCCCCAGTGGATATGGGGGAATGATACTGTACTACTAAAGAGCAATGACAGTATTAAAGATCTTTAAAGTTCATGTTTGAGAGCAGTTGATACATGACGAAGTGTAACTGGACATCTTAGTATTTTTAGATCTTTAAACATGGTGACTTATTCTAGGAGTGATTTGCTGCTTTAGGCATTTTGTACTTGAGAACATTACTGTAGTTCTGGCTACACATAAAAAATCCAACACACAAGAACATAAAATGTACATTCCCAACTACTGGCTGGCACGACAGTGGCCAAAGTGCATCCCTTGTGTGAATTCCCCATATGCACAAGTGACTTAGCAAAATAATTGCTCATGAATTGGTATGTTGTCATTCCTTTTCATACTTAGTTATTGTTTACATAAAGGTGATTTGTTTGAGTCCTTGGTCTTTTTGATACTGCAGTCATTTGTGCACTTTGAGGTTTTGAAAACTGTTGTACAAAAATAGCTCATCTCACTGCACTTAGCAGCTGTCACAGTTTGCAGGGATTAACTGATACATGGCTATTTCATGATGGAACAGTTATAGACAAGGAGGGTTTTTTCCCTGTCAAGGATTGCATTCCCTCTGGGCTAAATCTGTGGAGTTCAACATCACAATCTGGGGCATAATCAAGGAGCTCCACATCCCAGCCGGGAGCTTCTTCCTTCTGCTTTTTCCTCATCCATCAGATTTTTGCTTTCTGCTTCTGAAATTTAAGCAGTGAATCGCTAGAAATTACACCAAGGGTTCTAAGGAGCCAACCCTGTTGTAGATGGTTCCCTTTAAAAAGTGCCACCTCTTCTCCCTGTTTTGACCTGTACACACCTGAAGCCTTCCAAAACACCTATAATATGGGTGGGTTGTGAGTTTTATTTGCCATTGCCTCTGGGGTCTTTTCATTCTCTTTTTTAATTGGTTGTATGTGCTAGTGGGTGGGTTATCATTTTTCTTTATTTGCTGTTAGCCACCGAGAGTGCTCTGTCACTAGATGTGCAAGATAAAAATGCAATGCATGAGTGAATGATGTTGCTTTTCTTTCTCCCTTCAAACCCTTTCTCAAATCTCAAGCCTTTGGCTTAATCCTTATCATGAGCTGAGTCCAAGGCCTCGCCACATGTAGCATCATCTCTGTGTTCCTTCTGTTGCTTTTGTACATCTTACCTTTTCTTTTCACTCTTTCGTGTAGTGTTGACATTTTAAGTAAATGGTTCTTGTAACATACACTTTTGTTTGCCACATCACATGATAAAGTACTGGTGCATGGATATATAATTTTATTTAGCACCTCAGTTACGAAGCTCTTTCCCAAGAGAGGTCAGTCTGGCTCCATCCCTGCTATGTTTTGGGTGGATAGCCCAAACTCCTACATTCTAAAAGGCCCTTGGCCTTACAAACTGGTTTTAAAATTATTGTTTCAACTTGTTTTTACTCTGAATATTTTGTTTTTTTATTGGACCTCATTATGGGAACCTGGTTGGCAGAAATGTGATTGCAATTTTTTGAAATGAATAATTAAATCTCATTTACTGTCCAGTTCCAACCACTGTTGCATCAAAAGCTTCTGCAAACTCCTCACGACTCTCTTCTTCTGCAAGCAAGATTTCTGCCATTAGATCTATGAAAGGATCTTTGGTGCAAATGTCCCATGCCAATTCTTCTGGCAAGCCACAACAAACTACAAGTGCTACAGAAGGAAATCCTGTCTCTGGACCTAAATATAAAGCTGTGGTGATGTGTGAGGCTTCCAGCACCGGAACCCAGAAAGAGGGTTCAAATCCTAGTCAGAAACTCATACAGAAGAGTTCATTGGCAAATATAAGAGCATATTCAAGCCCTAAACTCAAAACTAAAGCAGTGCCTCCAGTGTCAAAAGAAGGTGAGAATTCTGATCTTACTAGTAGTCTAGTGTCTGGGGGCATGCACTTTTCCTCTTTTCCTGGGTTTTAACACCGTTTTAACACTGGAATTTTTCATTTCTTCTTAGATATATCTTCAGAAAATGTAGCTGCCAGAGTATTGCAACCATTCAGAACATCTTCCTGTGGCAATGTTGGAAGGTAGTATTCTGTGTTATTTATAGGTGACTCCCTCACTGCCCATCATCCCTTGAATTGTTTTGGCAGCATAGGAAGTATATTGTGATTTTGGAAGTGTATTTGAAGGACTTGAAAACCTTTCACTTAAGATTCTTCATATCTTTACAAACTAGATTAAGAAAATCCACCAGCAAAGCCATCCTGTGAAAACAAGTCTCTGTGATATCAGCAGTTTTAAAGGAACTCTGAAGCCGTCTAGAGTGGTCGTAATTGACCAGATAGGCGGGATATAAATAAAATAAATAATAACTCTCCTGTCACCTTTTGCATCTTTAAAATTGTTGAATGGTTATGTGACAAAAAATAGCTAGCAGAGCTTGGAAGAGTTAGTGCTTTGGCGTACACCTCTCAAAACCACCCAAGACTGTTGGAGTGGAACTCAGGGGATTTGGATTCATATCCTCCCTTGACCTTCGCAAGTCAACAAGTAGGGAGGTGGCAATGCTAACCACTCTTCTAGCAACTTATACTGTTAAAACCTTACTTCTGACAAGCCAGTTGTCAGAAGTAAGAAGCAACTTGCAGGTGCATAGCAACAACGCCTCAATTGGCCTACTATGAAGAATCAATTGGTATTAATTACTTCTTTATTGTGCTTAAAAAACATACTGGTTTTTTGTTTTGCTGCCACTGATCTCTTTGTAATTTGAAATCTCATATCTTCTCTCCCTGATACTAAAAAGAGTTTCAGTCAATAGTTTTGTAGCTGGGATAAAATCTGAACACCTTTTGTGCTACACCAGAATGCAAACTGCCCAGTACATTGTTTTAATTTAAAGTAAAGATTTTGCAGACCCTATGCTGGGCTACACCTTGACAGTTTCATAGATAAATATTTGGAATATCTTAAAATGGGAAGTAATGTTTCATGTGTAGTTTTTAGTTTTTAACTAAAATGTGATATATCCTTGTAGCAATGCTGTAGTTACCCCACCTGTCAAAAGGTCAGAAGATGGCCCAGCATTAAATTCCTGTTCTGCTGTCAAGTCTGCTGTACGGAATTCTTCCAGTAATATAAGGCATTCTGCATTGCCTACACCTGTTGGTCGACGTGTATCTGGAATTCCAACATTTACCCCGAAAACTGTTCCCAGATTAATGTCTTCTCCAAATCCTGTGCCCCTTCGTCAAATCTCAAGTGTGTCTTCCAAAAAGACTCTTACACACAGGTAAACCTAGATTTATTAAATGTTCAGCAATAATTTCCTTTGTTCTTTAGCATTAATGTGCTGTTCAACAACGTATTTCAAGTCCTTAGCTGGGCAGATGTTTGGATGGTCTTTTGTTTTTAATTACTTGTAACTTGTTAGAGATGATATAACTCAATTCCTTTAACTTGCATTTTGTAGTTTAAAACATTGACTGAGATCCTGTTTTGTATAGTAAAGCAAAACTAGAGTAGGCTAACTTGATCATTGCGGATTTGGTGAGCCAGCTTCACAAATTTCCTTATTCGATGGGCCTATTCTAATTGTGACTTACTATGCTGAACAACAGAATTTAAGCCAATGTCTTAAAAATCCAATATAAAGTGTTTGTTTCTGTTCTTATTAGTTCTAAATGGGCAAAGGAGAGCAAGACAAGAGTGACCTCAAGCTCATCTTCAATGGAAGATTTATCGCCACCACAAGTTGCACCTATTGCGCTTTGTTTTTCACCAGAGAATTCTTCTGTAGAAATGGAAGAAAAATTGACTGAAAAAGAGAGGCCGGCTAAAGAGGTAAGCTGCAGTTTATCCAAGCTTTGTCCAGAGCCGGAAGCATCTTCTCCTAAACATTTCTGCTGCAAGGACTCATTGTTTTCAAATGGAACTAAAAGATGCTAGCGCCCTCTGGTGCCCCTATCTTCTCAGGAACATGTCTAGGTTCAATGCAGCCGAGCTTCTGGTGCTTATATTTAAAGTATGTGCCTCGCAGGAGAGTTATATCTCTTGCAAATAAATTAAATTTAACTGGCTGCTACATGAATAGTTATTAGTGTTGTCCTCCAAACTGTCCTGTACTCCAACATTATTTCATAACATGCAAGCTCTGACATACTTTTTTCTCCTAGAGCCTACTAATAGACATTGGATTGGATAACACCCCAGTTTCAATAGATAAAACACCCATTGTCATCCAGGAATGTGAAAACAAACCTCTAATTGATCTTTTTAACACTCCTGAAATTATTAAGGCTCCTTCACTGAAGCCTTCAGTACAGGTAAGGTATATTGTTCATATGCAGTCATGTTAGCTTTCATGCTGTTCTGTTGGTTTCAGAATGTTATTTTATGTGTATGGTTTATATTATAGATACTATATACAAATATTCAAAGTGCAATGAAGTATCCAATAGGAGTGTCCTTACTATGCTTGCAAAGACAAAACACTTTAGAATTTGGTTTCTGATGCTGACACCAGTATTCAGTGGCTATTGATTTGATGTCCATCTCTTCCTGCAGCAAAGTATTTCATAATTTTGGTGAAGTAACCAACAAGGCCCTTTCTCTTGTCTTGATCAATTGTGCTACCAGAAGAGCCCCGCTGTGAAATCTTAATATGTCAGCAGGGTGGTATACAAGGAGGCAATCCCTAAGTTAGCCTCGACCATTTTAAGGTTGTCACCAATACACAAAATTACATCTGAAAACAAATCAGTAACCAGTGCAGCTCTTGCATTACAAGTGTGGTATATGATCCTATACGTGCCAACCACTATTCTTACTGCTGCATTGTGGATCAACTGTAATTTCTGAAAACTGTTCAAAATTAGCCCCATATAGAGTACACTGTAGTAAACCAGTCCAGATTAAGGCATGTGTCACCATGGCCAGGAGCAACTAGAACTGCTTATATGCCAATGATGCAAAGTTATCAATGCTTTAATATTTTTAATTTCAACTTTCAGCTAATAGATTTGAGTTCTCCACTTATTCAGCTTGGCCCTGAAGAAAATAAAGAAAACTTAGATTCTCCTCTTCTGAAGTTCTGATGCATTCACCCATTTTTCAGACTGGAAGCACTTCTGTGTGTTTTAAGGAGTTGGCGTGTTTCAATAGACAGTGCATGTAATAGACTGGAACAATAAACTTTAATATGTTTGAAATTTTAAACTGTGAATGCTTGATAAAAATGATGTGCTGCTAGGAAGAAATGGGAAAGCAGTTCAAATATTGACTTTTCAGTATCTTCAATTTGTTTACTGTAGCAAATGCTGTATGTTAAAATATATATTGCTAAACATAAATTGTAAAATTGTGCAAAATATTCTAGGAATGTGTCAAAATCTATAATAAAGTATTGAATTTTATACATCAATTATATGTTTTCATAAAAGTGTATGCAATTTCAACTCTGGTGAAAAAGGATTCATAATTCCAGTTGCTTAGTTTATTTTAAAACATGAACACTATACTGTTACATTTTGGAGTCCAGTTTGCATACAGATACACAGTGAAAGTACATGCTTGCAGCTTGCTGATTTGAGGCTTTAAGTAAAGACTATCTGAAGTAGAACTGGTTTGTCATTTTATTGACCTGTTTAATACCATCCAGCTTACAATGCAAAGCAATGCTGTAATACTGGCTATATTACTTAAAGAGTTTGTAATTCTGAATAAACGAGGAGGCTTTTATATACAGAAGGAAGTTCCTGTGCAGAACTCTGTGAAACCAAATAAGGAAAAGGATGAAGGTTCTGATTCTATCAACTCAGTTCTAAACATCCCTTAGGAAAATTACCAATTTATTTTAACAGCAATTCAGTCCAGAGTAATTAAGTTCTAGAATTAACTCACTGACATGAAGGCATCCTCTTTATGTCATATTACTTTGCTTTACTTTAAAAAGGCAACAAATCATTTTTATAGTTTAGCCTTACTAACTTTAATCATAAAGGTACTAGGTGTGCCCTCCCTGGCAGACAGAAACCTAATTCAAGTAATACTTGAAAAATAGTGACTTAAAGTAGGATTTCTGCTTTTAGATAGGATCATAGTACATGCAATTCTACTTATAAATAAGTTATTAAAAGTTATTAGGCTACATTTCTATGTGGATAAAATGGATCAAAACCTGTTCTCTATGGCCAGCATAGGAACTGCAACCAGCTGTAGTAAAGTCAGGATAAACCAATCTGTCTTTTCTCTCCCAGCCTGCTCATGTGACTGTCAGATGCTCTTACTAAACATGGTAACCACACATTTTGATTTTACTTCTTGATCCTTTTCTGCTGACATTTTACCAGTCGAGTATGTCAGAAAACAAAGAGTTGATCAAAAAAAATTATACCATTTTATTTCATTAAGCTGGAATTGCTATAGCATACTACACTGTTCCTATGTTTCTGAAATTAGCAGTACAGTAGTGGATCTGTTAGATGCATGTAAGTTTGTTTTAAAAAATCAATTTAAGACATTTTGATTTTGAGTGGATTCACCTAACACTTTGAAGACACCCAAATATGAGATAGGAAGCTCATGCACGACTTGCTAACAATATGAGTGCTTTTCATTTGAGGCAGGAGCAGCGGACTGTGGCTTGCAAGAGCATTCTGTCAGTGTCCCATTTCTTTCTGACCCTTCAGGCACACACCCCAAAATAAGCTTTAAAATATTTTTTGAAAGGTCGTTTGGCTCAGAAAATTCCTTTGTGCTGCCTAAGGGGCACTTTCCCCTCTTGTACTGAGGGTATAACATGCCCTTCCTGTGTGTAATTTTAAAAAAATTAGCTGTGAGGTGACTTGCGGTTAAAAATATTACTTTTTTTAAAAAAAAACTTAAAATATACGTATTGCAGTACAGCATATTTTGTCGTAAAGCACAGGGTCAAATTAGTCCCTATGCCCTCAGCCCCTGGAGTCGGGCCCATGCCTGAATTAAAGGCAAGATCTTGGGTCGTCTACTTCTACTGAAGAGCCTTCAAGCGTGCGAGTTCTGCCCGAGGTTTGAAAGCTGCGCGCTCGTCAAGGGCTGATTGGTTCCCTTCCTTGATCCCGGGGTGACCCGGCTCCGTGCCAAAGGCGCAGGATGGAAATGGTCAAAGTTCCGGGGAATGATAAAAGAAATTGCCTTCTGAAAAACCTCCAGCCCAGAGAAAGGCACCCGCTCTTGTTGCAACGGGGAGCCCACCCTGCAAGCTACACGGGAAGCTGGAGCTCCCCTAAGCCCGGCGCGGGAACCTGTCCTGCCCACGCCTGCCTCAGGAAAGAGGGCAGGGGAGGAAGGCACCACCGGCTTTCCAAGCTCAGCTCATGCAGCTTCCTCTTTGGTACAATGAAGCCGTGCAAACAAGGCGGCGGCGGCAGGCCCGACGTACAGGCACCACAACGCCGCCCAGGAGACCCAGGAAGCACCCTTAGGCCCCGGAGGCGCCCCCCCTCCGCGTCCCTCACCCGTCCGGCCGAAGTGAGCCGGAGGACGGCGGCGGCGGCGGCTGAAGAGCCCGCTTTGTGACCTCAGCTCCGGCCAGAGGAGGCGCCTCTCCTTCCCCGCCCCGTTTACGACGAGCCCAGGGCGGGACGAAGGAAGGAAGCGAGCGAGCAAGCAAGCAAGCGGGTGCGCGGCAGGGACGCCGCCGGCCGTGTGAAGGGCGCAGGAACATGCTCGCAGCCGCGCGCCGCCATGTGGTCTGCGCCGTGTCTGGCGGGGTGGACAGCGCCGTCGCCGCCCTTCTGCTCCGGCAGAGAGGTGAGGAGAGGAGGGGGAGCTTAGCGGGCTCCTTTTCCCCGGCCCCGGTTAGCCCCGCCACCCCACCCCACTCCCCGAGCCACTCCTCCCCGGTTCTTCGCGCGTTCTCCGTGTCCTCGTTCTGTTCGACACGGAGCCGTCCGAGGGCCCCTCACGCGGAAATCGGTGCTGCAAATTTACCTTTCGGAACGACTGCAGAAAGTCTGTCCCTCATTTTATCTTGAAAGGGGGGGGCTCAGGTGTCGTTCTTCCCCGGGACTCGCGCTTCTGGTGGCTTGCCTTGTGCATAGGATACGACCAGCTTGGGGGTTGCGGACATCTACTTCGGAATAAATCCCCAATGAAGTTCCCTCTGGAAGTGTGTTTGGGCTTGGAGCCTGAATCCAGCCTCCCGGTGGTGGCATTTGGGTTCCCTTGGTATTCTGGGAATTGTAGATTTGTGGGACACGTCAGGCGATCGATAGTAAATTAATCGAGATTTTCCTCCTTTCTTGTGAGGCCATAGTGTGAGCTGCAGTCTTAAGTGTTTGCTGTGAAGCGGCTTCCCGTCTGTTCTGTGGAATATTCTTGGATAGTAGTCTAGCCACAGGCTTGCACCTTTTTGGTGCTTACACTATTTTGTTTGGTTACAGTTTTGGTTACCATTCATAAACAGCAACAGTTAACTTTCCCATTTCTTGGAAGAAAGAAGTGCTTTGGGGGTTTTAAAAGCAACATTTGAATGCTTCACTCTGCTGGCCGGTGGACAAGATATAGGAGGCTTTGAAATAATGATAAGAGCACATCATACAGTTCTTGATGGTGCTATCACTATGCCCAGCAACAGCCATGCTAATGGAGCTGCTTTCAGGTGTCCAGTGCCTCTCTCCATCTACCTCACTGTTGTCTCAACACCACCACAATAGGGTGTGAGACAACAGCAGGAGGAGTACACTTAGTAGAGATCAGAAATTTGTATACATTGTTCATCTGATGTAGCTTCCTTCAAGATTTAATGTGTCAAATTGATTCATATTATAAAGAGTATGTCACACATTTTGGGCAAGGGAAACCATGCTATAGGCCAGCGATGGCAAACCTATGGCATGCGTGCCACAGCTGGCATGCAGAGCCCTTTCTGCGGGCATGCGAGCCGTAAGTTGCTGGATAACTACTCCCCCCCCCGCAGCCAAACCTGAGGCGGCGACTGCAGCTGCAGTGCTGGTGCTTCAACAGGCGGCGGGCCAGCTGGTGCTGTCAGTGTATCCGGTGTAGGGTCTTGAGGCACCTCCATGCCCGGGATTGGTGGGCCAGCTTGTGCTGTCAGCGGATCCAGCGTGGGGTCTTGAGGCACCTCCATGCCCGGGATTCTCCCTTCTGCCGCCACTCCTGGTTCCGCTGTGGCCCGCCAGCTGCTGCTTCCCTCCCCCCCATTTTGGCACTTGGGCCTGAAAAAGGTTTGCCGCCACTGCTATAGGCTATGCCACTGGTGGTGGATAGCCATGCCTGTGGGGCAGTACTACATGCCAAGCATTAGGTTACAACAACCAGCTCAAAAACAAAACAAATCACAGACACTCAATAGCATGTAAGCCAAAGTAATCTCAGTACTAGTAATCATACAAAATATACAAATGGATCAAGTGAATCTATTTTCAGTGGTGTATGATGGCTGTGTGAAACTATATTAGAAAGTTATCCAAAATTCTGCTTCGCACAAGACTTCACATTTTATGCAGTTTCCAACACTTGTACACTCATCAGAAAATCACAGCTGAATTAAATCATAGATGTATGTTTCTCTGCATCTGCATGCGAACACAAAACATTTTATAGTATCTCATGACGTGAAAGGGTTCTAAAAATTTTCAGTGGTTACATATCGTTAATATCACAGGTTCAAAAACCTGTGCCATTTTTCTACACCCAGTATCCCTCCCCTTTGCACGGGCACAACAGACGCTGGGCATGGTGCTAGTATAATCACTGATGTGCTCTTGTCTTTGCTTCTTCCTAATCAAAGTCTCTTCTATCCCACCACGTCCATGCCTGTGGCCTTCCATTTGTTCAGCTCCACTGTCCTTGGCCCAAGTCTTGAGTTCTCCTGCTCTTAAAGGGCTTAGCCATTTCTCGTTCGCTGTTCCATATGCTTCGAACTGTCTCACAGACCACATTGCATGACAGACCTATCTTATTTTCCTGAAATCTTAAATCCCTTAACAATGAACTGTCTTATAAAACAGAGACAGGACAATGGAGGTTTTATTCTTCCTTAGGAGGATAAAAACATTTCATGGTGAAAGACAATATTTAAAATTTAAATTTAAGGATGGTCTAAGTAATAGTTCCTATAAAGTCATTTCTGCTTGCTTCTGTTCTTTCTAATCCTCCACAGGATATAAAGTGACTGGGGTTTTTATGAAGAACTGGGACATTGTGGATGAAATAGGAGTTTGCTCTTCCGACAGAGACTGTGAAGATGCTCACAGGGTCTGTCAGATACTCGGCATTCCATTTCATCAGGTTTCCTTTGTAAAAGAATATTGGAATGATGTGTTCAGGTAGGAGAACTGTCATTAAACTAGTACTTAAAATAAAGCGTGTCTGCGAAGGGTAATGATGATGGTGGCTTCAAAGTTGCTTAGGACTCCACCCTTCTGCATATGTATTACGGTGCCCCAATCTCACTCCCCCCTCCCCAGCCCTTAGACTTCTTGTCTCCCATATTTTGGGAGCAGGATGTTGGGTGGTGCAAGATAGAAGTGATGGATTAAGGCCAAGTGTAGAAGCCCTGCAGAATTTTGGGAAGCTTCTTTTCTATACTTTTCTACTTCCTTTCTTTAACTGTACTGCAAAATATAGTAATCAATGTTATGGTTACCTGCTTACATGAATTTTAAGTTGCTTGTTTCGCTTTGGGTTCAGAAATGATCTATTAGGAGTTAGTGCTGTTATGCCGATAATGGTCTAAGCACAATGTCAATCAATCCCAAGTAGAGCAGATCCAATGAAGTCCATGGGGCTTACATCAGTGTGCAAAACGAAGTTCTTTATGTTCTAATGGTTCTGTGCTAGTTATGGATAGAATTGGTTCTGGCTCTATGTATTTTATTTATTAATAAAATAAAATTCTATTGTTTTGTTTTTCAGTTTGTTTTATTATATTTACATCCCACCTTAAATGCATCCTGGGACTTAGAGTGGTGTATGTAGAGTCCCTCAGTGGTCTGCAAGCCTGCTAAATCATGCTTATTCAAGATGAGCCTGTGGATCTGATCTATATTGAAAAGATATTCACAGATGAATATCACTATAATTTAATGTAATTTCACTCATTGTTGTAAATAAGAAAATATTAATGAGAGTTTTTTTCCTCACTCTCTGCTACTCCAGTCAGTATTTTCAATTTTCATAATAGACTTCATAGAAAATAGGACTTCACTTCTTTCTATGTCTTCACATTACAGTGGTGCCCCTCATGACGACGACCCTACAGAACGATGAAACCACAGGACAATGCCTTTTTGCGATCACTATAGCGATTCGCAAAACAGACATTTCAATGGGGAATTCCGCTTGACGACGACTTGGTCCGTGCTTCGCAGACCATTTAATCACAAAACGACTATCTTTACAGCTGATCGTCGGCTTCACAAAATCGCCTCCCGCTGTTTTCTGGACCCCTGCTTCGGAAGACAGTGATTAAAAACAGCTGATTGGCGCTCGCAAAATGGCTGCCCTGTAGAGGATCTTCGCTGGACGACGAGGTAGTTTCCCCATTGGAACGCATTAACTGGTTTTCAATGCATTCCAATAGGGAAACTGTTTTCGCATGACAGCGATTTCACTGTACAGCGATTTTAATGGAATGGATTATCGTCGTCATGCGGGGCACCACTGTATTATACCTCAGTATTTTTTCCAACAGGATTTCCTTCCCCTGCTTCCCTCCCCAAAGATATTGGGGCACTTCCATTTTTAGGCATTGTGGAAGTGTAATGGCTAGAAAATACAAGAACTGTTACAATATTGAATCCTTGTTTTTTTAAAAAAGGAAATTCTCTGAATGTTCATAATGGGTGGCAGTGTCAGAAGTAAGAAGGACCGACTGATGACCCCCCTTGAACAGAGCAATCTTAACCCCTCAGGTAGGAGTTAGGACAGGATGAAGGTTCCCCCGTCACCAAGGTGGGAGACCACCCCTGCTCCAGAGAACTCAGGAGCATTATATCTGTGCAGGGTATAAAACAACCACTGGCTGTGTTTCTGTGCCTTGATTATAAGAAGCACTGAGCTGTACCGTATAAGTGCTACATGCTAGAACTGCTGCCATATTATCATCATGATTTTAAAATAGACCTGAGTATGAACACAATTGATTTAATTGAAATCCGGTTAGAGAAAGTAGTTTGCTTAGCATTTGTCTGCTATGGTGAAAGTACAGTGATTTAGATACGTACTTGCTTTTCCAGAAAACATGTAGGTTGCAACCTGCTCCCCTTCTCCTTTAGAGCAGTGGTCCCCAACCTTGGACCTCCAGATGTTCTTGGACTTCAACTCCCAGAAATCCTGGCTAGCAGAAGTGGTGGTGAAGGCTTCTGGGAGTTGTAGTCCAAGAACATCTGGAGGCCCAAGGTTGGGGACCACATTCTGAGGGTTATTGGGGAATCCACCCAGTAATGGCTTCAGTTAATTAATACAGAATTTTAATAGTACTGAATTTTCAAGCGTTAAATTGTTTTTTTACAGCTATCTTTTAAATGAATATGCCCAATAATGTCAGTCTGATATGCATAAAATTGTATTCTGAGGGTTATTGGGGAATCCACCTAGTAATGGTTTCAGTTAATTAATACTGAATTTTAATAGTACTGAATTTTCAAACGTTAAATTGTTTTTTACAGCTATCTTTTAAATGAATATGAATTGGGAAGAACTCCTAATCCTGATGTTATATGTAATAAGCACATCAAATTCAGTTATTTCCTACACCATGCAGTGGATCAACTAGGTGAGTTTTATGGCTATCTGCACACCTACTGAAAAATACTAAAGAAATGTCGACCTTTTTTGAAATAGGAACTTCAGGAATAAACTAAAGCAATGCATGTGTCTGCATACAGTGTGCTTCTTGTGAAACTTTGGCTTATTACCTTTCAAAATGTAAGTCTACAATCCTGTACATGGGAGTAGGTGGTAGTAAGTACTTGATGGAACTCAGTGGAACTTCTAAATATACAGATATGTATAATAAGATTGTGATGTTGGTGTATGATAAAAAGTTATACTGTATAACTTATTGAATCTCTTAAGGTACTGTAGTTTGACTTTCTGTATATTCTACCATGGTGTGCTTTTTAAAAAAAAACATATTTTTTTAACACGGTCAGGAGCAGATGCTATTGCAACTGGACATTATGCTAGGACTTCCCTGGAGGATAATGAAGTGTTCCAGCAGAAATATATACAGAAACCACAAGGACTCTTCAGAAATAGGTTTGAAGTAAGAAATAGTAAGTGCTCTCTGCTTAAATTCATATGTTATATTTCATATAGTTTAATACAGAGATATGAAACTGTATGTGTGATTGGGTTCTTGTTTTATAAAAGACAGTTCCTTGTCTTTAGCTAAAGTTACTGCAGGAGACGGAGTAAGGCTGGTCAACATTTTAATATTTTTTAATCATGTAGTATGAACAACAACTTCTGTGAGTCCAATGGGATCGGTTGGCTTCTGTAGTGGCTGGCTCCTCACTGCACAGATAGTTCCGCAACAAGGGTGTTGAGCCCAGTCACCACTGGCAAGTGTTGAACCAGTAGGGGATTGGGTTTGGGCATACCATCCTCCTCCAAGGACCTTTCCCTCCCAGGTAGACATGTACAGTCCATTCCAAAGGTTTCAACTCTCCCATCTGCACTTCTGTTCCCACACTCTGCTTTCCCTTTCCTGCCCTGTCATCAAAAAGCCCTCTACTATTGACTGTTCCTTTCCTGCCATCTCCTTCCTGCTTCTCTCTCTTTCTTCTTTCTTGCCTGCCCCTTCCAAGGTCATAGTTTGGACCATTGAAGAAGGAGAAGACCATGCTGAACCCTTCTGACTTGGACGAGTGAGGGAACAGCTCTCTTCTAGGTTTAACTACTTTTGCCGGTTCCTCTTCACATTATGGTTTTCCAAAAAGGCCACTGCCAGTTCCTTACCCAAGTTGTAAAGGAAAATCAGTAATTATTATTTTTAATTCAGATGATATCTTGAATTGATAGGTATAGTGTTTAGCTGGAATAAGCCAGAATGCAGCGGAAGGCTATTCTAGTTGGATGTTTCTTGTTTTTTTTTTTTTTTTTTTTTT